CCCCCTGGGTAGAGTGCAGTGGCATCACAGCTCACAGCAACCTCCAACTCCTGGGCTTAAGTGGTTCTCTTAAGGCCTCAGCCTCCCAAGTAGCTGGGACTACAGGCACCCGCCACAGTGCTTGGCTATGTTTTGGTTATAGTGGTCATTGCTGTTTGGCAGGCTTAAGCTGGATTCAGACCCGCCAGCTCTGGTGTATGTGGCTGGCACCTTAGCAGCTTTAGCTACAGGTGCTGAGCCCACAGGATTATTTTTGAGAGGTAATTTGGAGTGTCAGAAACTTAACACTATTGTGTTGCAGCTGAATAAAAATGGAATAGAACTGAAGTTAAGGTGCAAAATGTATGTGTGTGTAATGTTAAATAGTTTGCCCTTTCTTTAAGATTGATCTTTCTGGGCTCAGTGGCTCATGCCTATAATCCTTGCACTTTTGGAGGCTGAGGCAGGAGGATCGCTTGAGCCTGGGAAGTAGAGGCTGTGGTGTGGTATGATGCTGCCACTGCACTCTAGCCCTGGAAACAGAGCAAGAGTCTTGTCTCCTCCAAATTAATTGTTTAATTTTATTTAAAAATTAAAAAGAGATTGATCTTAATTTTAAAGGAAACTCCTACCTCTTCCAAATTGTTTCCAAAAATTGCAGAGTCTGTAAACAAGCCCTGCACTATTTTAACAACAATCCCTACTTATAGGAATTTGTGAGCGTCAGACACAGTGTGTGAACATGTTCTGGTGCCTGAACGGCCTCAAAATCAGGATGTCAGAATCCTAAATAGGAAAGATCTGGCTCATGAGGCCTGCGTTTCTAGTAAGAGGACAGGTTAGGGGGTCTTGATGCCTGAGAATTAAACCACCAGAAGCCCTGGTGAATGGAGAGAGGGCAGAGCTTCCAGACCCCCCACTCCCCTCTCCTTTCTCCCTCCTCTCCCGTTTCCATTTCTCCTCCCCTCCTATTCCCCTTCCCCACTCCACCCCCTCCTACCTCATTCCCCGCTCCACCTCCCCTCCCCTCCTCCTCCTCCTCACCTCCTTGCCCCTCCCTTTTATCCTTCTCTCTTCCCCCCGCCTCTCGCTCAAGCTTCATCCTCGTGAGGTCTCGTGGCGTTTGCAGAGGTCTCAGGGCCCCCACGGCGCCTGGCGCCTTTACTTCAAGCGCAGGGGGGTTGGGGTGGAGGGGAGGAGGCCCAGGGCGCGTGATGCCGCCCCCAGCCCGCCCAGCACCTGACCCAGGCCGGCCGGCGGGGTCCTGGCACACTCGCTCCACTAGGTCCCATAGCAGGGCCCATGGCCTCCCCGCGCCTGGGGACCTTCTGCTGTCCCACAAGGGACGCGGCCACGGAGTTCGTGCTGAGCTTCCAGCCGCGGGCGTTCCACGCGCTGTGCCTGGGCAGCGGTGCGCTCCGCCTGGCGCTCGGTCTCCTGCAGCTGCTGCCTGGGCGCCGGCACACGGGCCCTGGGGTCCCCGCCACCTCCCCGCCTGCCTCGGTCCGCATCCTGCGCGCGGCCACCGCTTGCGACGTGCTCGGCTGCCTGGGTAAGGGCGTGGCCTGCGGGCTGGGACCTGTCGGGTGTCCGGGGAGAGCGCGAGGCCCGCGGGTGGAGCCGGGCATCCACGTACTGGAAGGTGGAGGCAATTCCCTAGGGTTCCCGCCAGAGGACAAGGTGATTTTTTTTTTTTAGAAGATCGGTAAAATTCACGTCCAATGAATTTCGAGGTTTATTTTTTTTTGGCAGTTTTTGGCCGGGACTGGGTTTGAACCCGCCACCTCTGGCATATGGGGCCAGCACCTTACTCCTGTGAACCACAGGTGCCACCCGAACTTCGAGTTTTTAAAAATAACTTTATTATGTTCAATATAGTGAAAGTTCAGATAGTGCAGTCAAGGAGACAGTGAGTTTTGCTTCACTGCAGCATAGAGAGACCAACGGTTAACACGGGGTGTGTGTGTTCTGTTTTGCGTTGCGTTGTCTTCACAGAATGTTTTTTTAACCTGAAACCCTTCCTGTCCGACTTTGTAGGTTTGAGCTGTACACCCCATGGGTGCAAACTGCATGCTCCCAGGACAAGCCCTGCTGCCTCTTTTCTGCCTCTCACGAGCTAAGAATAGTTTTAGATTTTAAGGTTTTATTTATTTATTTATTTTTGAGACAGGGTCGCTTTCTGTCACCAGCGCTAAAGTGCAGTGGTGTCATCACAGCTCACAGCAACTTCAAACTCCTGGGCTCAAGTGATCCTCCTGCCTCAGCCTCCTGAGTAGATGAGATCACAGACATTCACCACCACCCAGGCTAATTTTTCTATTTTTTGTTCAGACCAGGTCTCGGAGTCCTGAGCTCAACCTGTCCTTCTACCTCAGCTTCCCAAAGGCCTAGCACTGAAGGCATTTTTAGATGGCTTTGTATCAATCAAAATAAGACATATTTGCAGGCGTGTGACTCCACACAAGATTTAAATGTTAGTGCCAATAAAGTTTTATGGGATCGCAGCTATGTCATGCCTGTGACTTTGCCCATTGTCCAGGGCTGCTTCTGTCCTAGGAGGGCAGGGTCAATGTTGCACGGAGAAAGTATGGCTTACAAAGCCAAAATTATTTATACTCTGGTCTTTTACAGAACAAGTTTGCCAACATCAGCTTTAAACTGTAGCATGACAATTCTTACAGACCTCGAAGCTAGGTTTTGCCATTTTGTGTAGCTTCTCATTTTGGATAATTTCCAAAATACATAAATATGTTTATAAGTATAAGTATATTATATATAAGCAAGTACAATGAAGTTTCCTGCACCCGTCACCCAGCCTCACCCACACCCCTCTTCACACTCCTCACTGGGTTAATTTGAAGCAAATTCTAGGCTTCATGTCATTTGTCCATCTAGATGTCAGTGCAGAGCTCTAAAACATCTGTTAACTGCTCTTTGTATCCCATCTTGAGCAGGTGTATGGGCACAGGTGGTTACATGTCACAGGGCCTAGTCCTGCCCTGTTTCCAAGCCAAGAGGGACACAGACTTGATTGGAGACACTCAAGAACCTTGACTTCAAATAATGCTGTGCAACCTCAGGCGTTAGGAACAGAGCAAGGAAGCAATGTTTCCTTTTCTATTCCTGATAAAAGCATTTTGGTACAGGACAATTCAGTCAAAATTGGTATTATTTTACAATCTTCTGAATCACTTTGGAAAAGCATCTTAATTCAGTTTCTGTGACTTGAATATCTGGAAATAAGAATGTGCCCAAACATCTTTTAATGGCTATCAAATAATACATCCATAGCTTTTAGCCTTTAGAAGTGAGGTCAGGATGTTGTGGGCACATGGGCAGAAGCAGAAGTCAGGAGAAGGCTGCATGGTCAGTACCCCTTGCTGAAAAATGAGAAATTTGAATGAATGCCTACTGCATCAGGCTTTCCTTAAGCTCAGAGGAGTGCCACATGCCTAAAATTATATAGCATTATGCAGAAGAAAGGAATTTTTTTAAATCTTTTATTTTTCGTTTTGAGACAGAGTCTCACTATGTTGCCCTCAGTAGAGTGCTGTGGCATCACAACTCACAGCAACTTCAAACTCTTGGGCTTAAGGGATTCTCTTGCCTCACCCTCCGAAGTAGCTGGGACTACAGGTGCCTGCCACAATGCCTGGCTCTTTTTGTTGTTGTTGTTTGGCAGGCCCAGGTCGGATTCCAACCCTCTAGCCTCGGTGTATGTGGCTGGCACCCTAGCCTCTGACCTATAGGCGCCAAACCAGAAGGAATTTTTTTTGTTAGCAGTGGCTTGGTAATGAGAAGATATGTCTCAAGGTCTTTAGTGTCCATAGTTGTCCTTTAGGAGTGTATTACATGTATGTGTTCAGTAGTGTAGGACACAGTTTTTAATGGTGTGTTACATAGTATGTGTTTGGTACTGTACTGCATAGGGTGTGTTTGCTAGTAGATGACATAGTGAGTGTTCAACACAGTATTACAGAGTGTGTGTCATATGGTGTGTGTTCAGTAGAGTATTACACATATCTAGTACACACTAGTACGTAGCGTGCACTTTTGTATTATTTATTATTTTTTCTTAGCAGGTTTAAACAAAAGGTATTGCATTACTTAACAGAGTACCGTAATATGTTCTGTGACTCTGTGTACTGTTTTAAGCATTAGATATTCGTGTTTAATAGCAAAGGAAACTCACAAATAACACTAGAAACAAATTATTGAGAGCTAATTTATGAAAATTCTTAAACTCATTTTTTCTTTTTTTGAGACAGAGCCTCAAGCTATCCCCCTGGGTAGAGTACTGTGGGATCAGCTCACAGCAACCTCCAACTCTTAGGCTCAAGCAAGTCTCCTGCCTCTGCCTCCCAAGTAGCTGGGACCACAGGCGCCCGCCACAATGCCTGGCTATTTTTTGGTTGCAGCCGTCATTGTTGTTTTGGAGGGCCCAGACTGGATTCGAACCCACCACTTTAGGTGTATGTGGCTGGTGCCTTAGCCACTTAAGCCACAGGCGCCAAGCCATTAAACGCATTTTTTTTTAAAAAGAACTATATATTAAAACTTCCAAATTGTGCTTTTATTTATTATTTTATTTTACTTTGAGACAGAATCAAAATAAAACATTGCGCTGACAGCAACCTCAAACTACCTCCTGGGCTCAAGTGATCCTCCCACTTCAGCCTCCTGAGTTTTTCTAGTTTTATAAAGGTTTTTGGGAGTCCCCAGAGATGGGGTCTCCTATTGTTCAGGCAGGTCTCAAACTCTTGAGCTCAAGTGACCTCCCACCTCCTAGAGTGCTAGGATTACAGGTGTGAGCCATCATGCCCGGCCCACACAATGGTTATGCAATGCCAAGTAAACAGAGAAATTAGGAATGAGTCTGTGGCTAACTATAAATTCAAACAAAGTGCCTAGGTTTGCTTTGCTACCCTAAGAGTTATTTTCTGAGTAACTCAGTCTTCTCTCTGCACACACCAATACATGTATATTTTTCTTTATTTCCTTCTTTCCTCCTTCCTTCCTTCCTCTCTCCCTTATTTCATTCCTTTCATTCTTCCTTCATTCTTTCCTCCCTACCTCCTCACCCTACCTATCTATCCATCTGTCCATCATTTTTATAAAGCAACAAATCAGGTTTAGATTATTTATTTATTTATTGAGAGGGAGTCTCACCCTGTCACTCTGAGTAGGATGCTATGGCATCGTAGCTCACAGCAACCTCAAACCCTTGGACCCAAGCGATCCTCTTGCCTCAGCCTCCTGAGTAGCCTCCAGAGACTACAGGCATCTGCCACCGTGCCCGGCTCATTTTTCTATTTTTAGTGGAGATGGGGGTCTTGCTGTTGTTCACAGTGGTTTGGAACTCCTGAGCTTATGCAGTCTGCCCACCTCAGCCTCCCAAAGAGGTGGGAGCATGAGACACCAGAGCTGGCTAAGTTACCTTTAGATTTGAATTAGGATCAGATACAGAGTATCATCTAATTCTCGCTTAGGCATTGTAATCCGGTCTACAGTGTGGTTAGGATGCCCAGATTTCATCGAGAGCATCTCCGATGTGAACGGGACAGACATCTGGCCTGCTGCCTTCTGCGTGGGGAGTGCGGTAAGCCTGCCTGCTTAGTCTGCCCTCTTTTCTCCCTGTGCTCCCTGGTGTGCTGTGGACCTCAAAGTTCAGCAGTAGCAACCCAGGTAATCTGTGAGAAATGTGGATTCTCAGGCCCTGCTCCAGACCTGGGACCAGGAATGCAGCCAGCTGCTGGGGTCTTACCAGAGCTTCCCCGGGGGCTGCTGTGCTCCCACCTCAGCCCCTCAGCACACATCTGCCCCTCACCTGAAAGAGAGCTACAGTCAAAACCGGTGGCAAAAACACAACATTCTCAATATATTGGATGTATTTTGCTTAATGAAATATACATTTAGGCTTGACGCCTGTAGCTCAAGCTGCTAGGGTGCTGGGCACATACACCAGAGCTGGTAGGTTCAAATCCAGCCTGGGCCTGCCAAACAACAATGACAACTGCAATAAAAAAATAGCCAGTTGCTGTGGCGGGCACCTATAGTCCCAGCTACTTGAGAGGCTGAGGCAGGAGAATCGCTTAAGCCCAAGAGTTTGAGGTTGCTGTGAGCTGTGATACCATGGCACTCTACCAAGGGCAACAGCTTGAGACTCTGTCTCCAAAAAAAATAAAAAGAGAACTATACATTTAAATAGATTAAATAGAATATGTAATTATGTAAGCAAAGAAGTAAGTATACATTTTACATGCACACAGACACATACATGGACATGTGATGCTCTGTCCCCTCACTGGTGCTCAAGACAATGGTGCCACATACAAACGTCCACACGCTAATGCTGACCCCTGACTGTGGTGCCAGCATCCTTGTTCCTCTCCCCTCCAATGAAGCATCGGTCTCCGCCATGATAGTGAGGCATCTTGATCTGGCTTTATTTATTTATTTTTTGGCCAGGGCTGGGTTTGAACCTGCTACCTCCGGCATATGGGGCCGGCGCCTTACTTCTTTGAGCCACAGGCACCGCTGTTTTGATCTGGCTTTAAACACCCCCTTCTCCTTCTACTTGAAAGTACATTATGAGTTTTTCCTGTGCATGTTAATTCATTCGTGGAAAAAAGCTTATAGTTGAAAGCGCCTGTGAATGCCCACACCACTCTAAACCGCACGTCTTAGAGAATCTCTCCTGCTGCTCTGGTACTGTGGACCAGAAGATGGAGTCCCTTAGTCAGATCTGGCTGACAGACGGGACAAACACACACCCCCAGGCCACACACCCCCTTGGTTCCATGGCCTGCATGCACATGTGTCCTGAGAACTTTCCAGGGCTGCTTCCTGGTGTCAGAGGCATCTGCTGTTTTATTTCCCGGGTGGGCTGGGCAGCTCACGCCTGTTTCAGATGCTGTGATGTTGGACTCTTCTTGGTTACAGATGTGGATACAGCTGTTGTACAGTGCCTGCTTCTGGTGGCTGTTTTGCTATGCAGTCGACGCTTACCTGGTGATCCGGAGATCAGCAGGACTGAGGTATTCCCGGAGGAAACAAGTGAGGATTTCTGCCCTAGATCTGTGTTATGAGGAAAGTTTTAGATTGCACATAGCAGAGTGTTTGGTGGCAGGGCAGACACTTGTCAGTCAGAATCTGCCTGCTGGCCCCTTTATCTAGAAACAGCTACGACAGCTCAATATTTGTAAGAGGCCAATGGCAGATTGAAAATTCTGCCTTAAAATCTTTATATGGTTTTATTAGTTATCCCTCACACACCCCCCGCTATCCTCCAGCAGCCACAAATCTACTTTCTATCTGTAGGCATTTACTTATTCTGGACATTTTATATCAGTGGAATGATACATGACCCTATGTGCTTGGCAGTTTAAACTCAGCGTACATACCAGATGACCACTTTGTTGCCCTGGGTTGAGTGCTGTGGCATCATAGCTCACAGCAACCTCAAACTCTTGGTCTCAAGCCATCCTCTTGCCTCAGCCTCCGCAGTAGCTGGGACTACAGGTGCTTGCCACAATGCCCAACTATTATTGTTTTTTTTTAGAGACAGAATCTCACTTTGTCATCCTCGGTAGAACACCCAACTATTTTTAGAGACCAGGTCTTGCTTTGGCTCAGGCCTGGCTTGAACTCCTGAGCTCAGGCAATCCACCCCTCATGGCCTCCCGGAGTGCTGGGATTACAGGTGTGAGCCACTGCACCCAGCCTCCAAAGGGAGTGCTTTGAAGGTACAGCCATCAGACCTGAATTCCAGGCAATAGGAAGGAGGAAGAGGACATGCAGCAGGAGCCAGTTTTCTCCCAAGCCAGCCTTAAGCAGTGCCCTGTGTGTTTTGTGTAATTCTACTTATTTATTATTGGCTAGAACTTGGTTTCAGGCTACACTCAGGTGCTAAAGGACGTAGGAAATGCACTCTGTGATCTGAGTATGGTGTAGGTCTCCGTGACATTCAGATTACGTTACTGAGGGGAAAGGGAAGAATGGCTTTCAGTAGGCAACAAGCAGCCTTGGCCTTGATAAGGTCTTGGCCCCAAAGCCCCTGCCATTGGTACGAGGACCCCTCAACCAGTGTTGGAGGGATCAGAGCTCTGACATACTGGAGGTGTCATAGGCACCCAGTTATGCAGAGAAAAGAGGGGCCTTGGAGTGCCCCTGGGAAGCTGGGAGGAGAGTGCTGCCCCTGCTGTCGCTGGATCATGCATCCTACTGTTTCAGCCACACCTATGGCAGGGAGGTGGGGTGGGCAGTGATGGATGGGACCTGACAGGGCAGTCTGAGAACTGTCTGGATCAGAGGTCAGTCAGAGCCCTGAGGAGCTGTGAAAGGCAGTCACCAAGCCTTCTTCACCCCCAGGAGAGTGTGTGGGAATTCACGTGGAAACTCAGCGTTCAGAAGGCAGGATGGATGGTGGGGATGCTGGGCAGAGTGTGGCCTCCCAGAACCTGCCATCATGAGAAATATCTAGATGCTAGGATAGGGGTGACAGTCTGTGGGGTGTGACATGGGCTCTCCCATCAAGGAGGAGCAGGCACAGGGCAGATAAATAAGACAGGTGCTCAGCAGCCCTCGAGGGAAGGCCCCACCCCCCAGTGGATGGTCCAAGCCAGGGCTGAGAATGTGGGTTCAGAGCCTTTGTAGCTCCCCTTTTAACATCTGGCTTGTTCCAAAGCCATGGGTGGAGCTGATGGCCATTAAGAGGCTGCAGCTGGGGGGTGTGGTTGGGTTGTCCTGAGCAATTCCAGGGCAGAGGGCTGGGCTTTGCAGGTATGGCTGGGTCCAGCTCCGCATTCCTTTCTAGAGCCTTACAGTACTGAGTTGTTTTCTTTGGCATGGGAATATTTTTTCTTTTAATCCTAATCCTAAAAAATGTCATTAAGACAGATTTAAAGTTAAAATTTAAGCCATTACTCTGGTTCCGGGTGTGGGACATACAGGTTTTAAGCAGTAACAGAAAGCACTTGGATCTTAGAACAGGCCTTGATTCGAAGTCCCTTTTTGCTCTACAAAAATGGAAGTCAGAGAACAGAGAGAGTCTGGAAGGACCTTTGTGTGCCTGGACGTGGAAACTGGGGTGCCGGCTGCTGCCCTGGGGTGGCTTCACACTCACCCACCTGGTGCTGTCTGCAGGATACCCATCCCATGGTGGGTAGGGAGCTGCACCCAGGCCTTGGTGAGCTCTACCCCTGGCCTTGCTGAGTGCTTATGTCTTCCACCCCCTGCCTGCCCCATCTGGAAGGCCCAGGGCCTCAAGTCCCTGGGGGAAGCAGGGCAGGGCTGTGTGGAGGGACTACGATGAGTGATAGAGACAGTTCAAGAATGCTAAGTACGAGGGGGTGGTAGTCTCCTGCTCTGCCCTCTTATTCCCACCAGGACCCCTGGAGTGGGCTGAGCTTTTAGACTGATGTACCCAGATTGGGTGCTTGGGAGATTAGGTGTGGAGGGGACTTTGGGAAGGGGTGGGGGAGAAGGTCCTTGTGTATGGGATGGAGCTGGGTGTTTAGGGGGCCTCCCCCGCTGCCCTCCCTCCCTTCCTCCTCCCACCCTCTCTGCTCCAGCCACACCAATACTGAGTCCAGAAGAAGCCCACTCTTCTTCACTCATGGCCTCTTCCTCTACCTCCAGAGTAGCCATGGTGGGTCACATCCTTCTTAAACTCTCTCCTCCCTTGTTCTCCAAAGCTGACAAAGTTCCCCGCTCTGATGGATTCTGGACATGATACTGGGCCAACTCAGGTAATCCAGGATGATCAAAAGTCCTTCACTTTATCACATCTACAAACTCCTCTCTTTTGCCATAGGAGAGAACATCATCACATTTATTTTGGAGATTAGGACAGATATTCTTGGGGGTCCTTATGTGGGCAATCACAAGTGTTTGGCCACTTTAGCTTATAAACGTCATCTCATGTTTTAAATTAATATGGCTCCAATTTCACGTTAAAATCTCTTCCACCCAGCCAGGGCCCCCACAAGTGGGAGGGGTGTGGACGTTAAGCTACCAGTTTGTCACCCTCTTGAGGTGGTCGCCCTGTGAGGGCAGGGTCTTTGTTTCATTCTCCGAGTTTCCAGGGCCTACAACAAACACTGGCCTACGACAGCCAGTGAGTGTTGCATTCCTTTGAGATATGACTCACATCCCCCAATATTCACCCTTTAAAAGTGTATAGTCTGCTGGCAGCCACTCCCCACGGAAAGGGAATCGCCACATGTGGGCAGTTTGCGTCCAGCCTCCTTCACGCAGCTTACGTGTGTGAGGTTCCTCCGAGGTGTGCCATGAACCAGCATGGTTGTCACTCCACCCTGCCCTCACATCCTGGTGACCGTCTTGGAGGTTAAGGGTGCAGGAAGCATTTCCTGTCACCAGCTGCTCCTCCTCTCTAGAGAATATGCAGCTGATGGATTGACTAGACTTAGGGTCCAGAAGATGACTCCCCTGCCCCCAGAGCATGGGATGCTGGCAGATTCTATTGCTGGGGTCACCTGACATAGGGCAGGCCCAGCCTAATAGGAAACGTGGAGGCAGGTAGGGATGGCTGGGCTGCCTAGCAGAGAACGTAAATAGCAGAAAGTGGCAGGGGCCTGACGTCCACCTAGCCTTACCAGAGTGCAGATCATGTCTGTTGTAGGTACTGTGGCCCAGGCAGGACACAGAGGGTTTGTTGTTCCCCTGGATGGGAAGAGTACCCCAGGGCTCTGAGAAGTGGGTCTGGCCCAGGCAGTGCTGCTAGTAATCAGCTAGATGTTTGGATTTAGGGGTGAGACCTTTTCAGCCTCTGGTGTCTGCTTGGGATGAGAATGCAGCTGAATTAGCCACGGATAAGGCAGGAGGCCAGTAGGTGTGGAGGGTGGGCAGGAGCACAGCGTGGGCACCCAGCCTGTGAGATGGTGTCTGCTCTGTCCAGGTGCTATAACAGAACACCACAGACTGGGTGGCTTATGGTATTTCTCACAGCTCTGGAGGCTGGAAGTTGAAGATCATGGTGTGGCCGAGACTGTGTGTGGTGAGGACTCACTTTCTGGTTTATAGACACCAATTTCCTGCTGTGTTCTCACATGGTGGGAGGGGTGAGGAAGCTCTCTGGGGTTCCTTTTATGAGGACACTGATCTCACCCACGAGTCTCCACCCTCAAGACCTCATTACCTCCCAAAGGCACCACCACCTCACACCAT